AACAAGAATACAGCAAGTGGTTTCTGGATGGCAAGTCAACAACAAAACACTTGTCTTTTCCAGCAGCATACAGCGGTAAAAGCAGTTGAGCAAAGGCGGTTTTACCAGCTGGGTTGCTAGGTGACGGATTGGGCTTCACTGGCGTTGCTAGGTAACGGGCAGCGCATGCTGAAGGTTTTTGAAACGGTTCATTTTCCAGACACTAAAAAACATGAACTTATTGGCAAAAAAACAGCTGGGTGGTTTTTCTAAAGGGTTTGTGCTGCTTTCAGAAACAATAGAGACTCAAATGGAAATACAAAAACATGCAAATTATGAATTTCGCAGAAGTTAAAATAGTACCTATCTCCCATTCTCATCTCATCCTGTCATGAATACACAGTAATTCGCTTTTTTTATGTGATCAAATGTGTTACCCCAAAACTCAATCTCCATTCACGCCGACAAGCAGCCATGTGGTCACACTCACACCTCGGAGAGCCGAGGACATGCTAGGTGCATGCAGCAGATTCCTTCGTGATATTTTATTTATGCCAGCAGAGGTATAGGCACACATGAGCTTTCACACCCTCCTCCTCTCTCTCTATCTGAGTCTCCTGTGCAGTTCTGGCTTGGCCCAGATAACAGCAAACCTGCCTGGAGGCGAGAGACACCAACACTGCAGGACGTAATGGAAGCTATCATAATGCTTAGCAGGAGCTCGGCTCGTGGCGGCGAGACGGAAACGCCTCTCAGCTCGGAGTGTGAGGACACGTCGGTTTGTTTTGATGCAGTGGCTCAAGGTTTTAAAAGCCGACAAGATAGACTGATTTAGGTAAAGGGATGGGGAATGTGTAAAAGGACTATCGGCTGTGCAAAGAAGAATGAATTTAAATCTCTTTTTAAATGATTTCTGGAAGTTGCTAAAAAATATCAGAGTGAATGTGCCTAAAACTTCAGTGCAAGTTTACGTATGATAAAGTTCAGATTGATGTAATTTCTAGCTTTTAGTGGTGATTTTAAAGGATCATACAACAAAGTCAATCAATTTTAAAAACAAGAAGGAATGTATTAGGAAGCAGAGTTACAATTAAAGGCTCAAATATCCAAATTTATTCCAATATCTGAATAAATATTCCCAAATGTGGTATTTTATCATGTATTCCTTATTATTTTAAGTCAAAATTGTACTAGTATTGTTTTAATGCAAGTCTCTTCATCTTTGACGTTTTATTTTCTAGTAAAACATTTTGGATAAACTTGAGTTTTAAAAGATGCTTTACATTAGGACTGGAGTTTGAAGCCACTGGGATAGATGATGGATGTTTAAAACGTCTATCCTATTTTTCAACACTGTTGGACTCAGGTCAAGCATAATGTTAGCCAGTTTTCACATAGCTGGGTCCATTGTGGAATCAGAACATCCAATTGGACCAATGCTACACTCATCTAACCCAAACTGTGTAAACAAAATGTTCAAGATAAAGCCTAGCATCAATTCTCACCCAAACAGAAGATGTTGAGACAAGAGTGAGTTTAAAATAGACTTTAAGTAAGAAGATACAACTCCTTCAAGCTTGACTGGAGTTTGCAGCTGCCAAATGTCGTCTGGTGGAAAACAAAGGCTCAGCTATTTACAAGGTCAGAAATAATATAGTCAAAGTGAGATATTTAAATCTAGGAGCATCGTGCTGACTGGTAAGCACGGAGGTGGAAGCATCATGCTGAGGTCTGTTTCACTCTTAGCATAACTGATGCACTCCAAAGCGTGAATGGAGTAATGGAAGAGTAGGACAGATTGTTTAACTTCACTTCAACAGCTTTAACTTCAACGATATTGTACTTTTATGAACTGTGTTGGATCGGATAACTGCGCATTTTACACATTTATGTAATTTGGCACTATTCAAATAAAAACTGATAAAATAAATCTCATCTTGAAGTTCCAGTTATGTGCTTCTTTTTAGTCTTGATTTGACCTGCAGACCTCGAGTTTGACTCGTCCTGTAGAATACTTCCTATTTAATCTGTTTTCATTTATATTTCTGTCTGTGTGAATCTACATGCTTTGTTTGCTTGTCACTTTGCTACACCTGCGTTTGCCCTTTGTGGGACAAAGACTGATTATGGTATAATGTGCTTTGGAGTTCTTGGACTTGATAAAGAGCTATACAAGTGCAGACCAATTACTGTTTTACAAAAACTGAGTTCAGAACGTCATCTAACCAAACATTAGTGGAGGTGTGTATGAATCTTACTGTGCGGATTAGGGAAAATACACAACAACAAATCAAACTTGTGACGCTCTGAAACAACTAACGAGTCACTATGGTGACTTTTCCTTTTACATTTACTGATAGTTTTAATCTTTTAGTCAGTCCAAACACAAGCGAGCCCCGACTGAGGATATACACTGCTTCTCAAATTACCTCGCAAATTAAAAGGCATTAAAACCAACCCCATCTTTTTATCTACACCTGCTTTATGAACCGCATAGATTTAACAGACAGCAGCAGGATCAATACACACTAACAGCCTTTCAGCTCTGGATACCATGTTTAATTTAACTGCTCTAATTATCCGGTCTTATTAAAAATGTAAGTTTACCCACAGAGTTCTGCATTCTGTATTTATCAATATTCAATTCCATCAGGTAAAAAAAAAAAAAAAAAAAAGAAAAATGCTCGTTCCACTGCAGCGAGCTGTTTAATGACTCCCCGAGTTAACGGTCTATACACGGACTTAATGGTCCGCTCTCGTTTGTTTTATGGGTCCATATTATGGCGATGAAACCTTTGTTCTGTTCTGTCAAGCTGGATACATACGGAGAGTTAATTGGTGACGTTTAATAGCATTTAAGGCTGGATTCAAGGCAAACAGGAATAAACTTGTCATGAACTGACAGAGTCTCGTGTTAGCTCAGTTACACTCCCTGCAAATCCCTCCTTCACCGCAGCCATACAATGTCTTTTTTTGCGTTTTCTGCAGCACACCGATAATCTGAAGTCAAACCTTCCTGTTGAGGGATTTATTTCCTCTAAGCCTCTCTCTTAGTCCTGTCTGTGGTTCTATTAATTTCCTGCAAAAATCAGATTTGACAAATCCAGGAAGTATTTATGTATCTGCAGGCCTGGGAAAGCCGATTTGAGTTTGTCCAGCAATAAGGCAGGCACTTATGAGCGGCGATATATTTGCTTGCTTGCAACTCAGAGGAATTGATTATTTCTGCCCCTTCCTGATCGATTTAGAGATACGGCTCGGATGCCAGTTTATAATCTCATAGGTGCATCCTTTCCAAAGGTTCTGAAAACAGTTACTTAACGGTATTTATAACCTTTAAACTCTTTCAACATTTAATCAAAGTTGTAAACACAAACTTGAACATAACATGCAGAGAAAGGTATTCTGATGAGATGAATTAAAACATCCTCAATAAGAACTGCACACCACTCTGAATCGGCCGCTCTTATGGTGAGACATGGAGGTGGCAGCATCATCATGCGGGGATGCAAACAGGTCAAAACTAACACTTGGTTCAAATCTCATATGATAATCGAACTTTAGAGGTAAGAAAAACCTTGAAATGTTTGTCTTACTAGTTTGTATCCATACACATTTGTAATCCAGACTTAAATCCCATCTACTCCAAACTTGATAGCTTACTGAACGTTATATGTCCAATCTAACAGCCTGGGCTTCAGTTCAGAGAAATATGGACACAATTTTTCAGTCCCTAGATGGAAAAAGCTGGTAGAAATATACCAGCTCTGACAAGGGACAAACTTTGAACTCAGCTTACAAATTAGCCGACTTCTAAAGGCCATTAACTGCACTGGATTTTATTTAGGGGTGCCAGTTTTATTATTTAAGAAACCATGCATCCTTCTTTAGAACGATGTCTTCGCAATCACGACCGCAAGTCAGTCTGTCGAGTCAAATCCCAGTGAAACACGTTAAAGTTGGAGACTGTAAGGTGACAAAATATGAAAAAGTTGAAAGGACGTCAACACGTTTGCAAACTACTGTTGAAATCCAAATGAATGAAACTTGATTGTGCTCTCAGCAGGTAACCTTCAGGTGGAATCAATGAAAATTGTTTGCTCTATCGAACAATTTTCATCAGCTTTACAAAAATAACACATCAGCCACAGGTGCAGAATTCTGGTACCTCATTCTTTATTTCAAACATTGGTTAATGTACCTGCAAGTGGGAAAATGTCTGTTCATCCTCGTTGAAATAGAAAACAAGAAAAACGCACTGAACTCTCCCAAGAATCTATAAGAAAAAATTACATCCAAAAATACTTGACACTGCCATCTGCAAGAGTACAACAGGAAATAGGAGGAAAAAAAGAGATAAAACAAAAAGCACAAACCTGTGAGCTCAGCTGCAAGAAAAGTGTCAGGTTAAAACGTCAGAGAGGGGATTTAAAAAGGATTCCCTTGTTTCTTTTTTTAGTAAAAGACAAAGAAAAGAGCAACAAAGTAAAAGCGAGAGGTTTCACCGATGAGATTCATCAAAATCACAAACCACACTGCCAAAATGCAAACCAAAGCCACAGCAACAGCAAAAGTCGACAGAAAACAACAAAAAATCAAAATAATAAAAGAAAAAATGTCCCAAAACCCACCAGTAAATGCGCAGGAAAAAGAAAAATCTCTGTACTGATAAAATCTGCTCGGTTTCTGCAAAACTGCAAGCAAAGTGAGAGGCTTTCTCAGAGACCGATACCGCACTCGTTTTCTTTCTTTTCTTTTTTTTCTTTCAATTCATACCCTCTCGATCTGAATCACCGCATGCTGGAAACTTGAAGCCTGGATGGACTGACTGTAGAGGGGAGGGGGGGTAAAAAAACGCTTAAAACCAGCACGGCAAATGCTCAATTCAAACACCAGCAAAAGGAGGAAAAACAACCCAAAAAAAGGAAAAAAGAAAAAGAAGGGGGTGAATTTAGAAGACCAAAAAAAAATGTTTGCTTAGAAAAACAGAAAAAAAAAATAGCCAGTGGAAGTGTACTCACCGAGCGGGAGTAAAATGTTGCAATAAAAATGTGAAATGGCTCAAAAGAGGCTACAGTATGGCGGTGCGAGGCGGAATGCTGAGCCTTTTTCCTCTCTCTAGCTCCCTGCCTCCAGTTCTGTCATGTGACTCCTTCAGCTCCGACTTCCAGCAATGAGAGTCCAACCTCGAACAGCTGATGATGCCGAATGCTCTCCTATAAATGCTTGGCTTCTTACAAAAGTACGGGGGAGCGAAAAAAAAAAGAAAAAAAAAAAAAGAAAAAGAAAGATGCGCTCCTTATCATGCAACGCTTAGGACTGAGCTGGTTTTATGTTTCTCTGCTGCATTTTGAACATGCACAGCTCTCTCTTTGTGTCAGCGCCACGGGACGATCAAGTCATGCGGATTTTTTTTTTTTTTTTCATTCGCTGGCATCGTGAGCTTGTACATAAGGCATGGATGGGAAAAGAAGAATCAGTCTGATGACGATCAGTGCATAAGAAACCCACTGAAGCCTCATATGTTGACAGAACCATTTGTCGTTTAGCCTTGATGCAGGTTAGAAAACACTTTGAGTTATCAGCCAACATATGGATCCTAGAACAAAATACAGTGCAATAAGAAGCAAAAAAAAAAAAAAAAAAATAAAACACACATCTGGAAAATATTCACATTTTATGTTGCAACCTGATTCCAAGTTGTATTAAAGTAATCTCTTTCCTCAAAACCCTTCACACTAATATCCCATACAAAAGTTTAACATTTTTGCAAATTTATTAAAAGTAGAACATCAAGAAATCACATTCACATAAGTATGTGTGTAATACTTTGTTGATTCATGTTTGGGATCAGTGACAGTCGAGTCTTTCTGAATGCGATTCCACCGGCTGAGTTCGGCCATCTCCAGGTGGTTTGATCCGTTCTTCTCTGCTGTTCTTCTCCAGCTCCTTCAGGTTGGATGGGAAACGTCTGTCAGCCGTTTTCAGATCTCTCCAGAGATGTTGAGTCAGATTCACACCTTTGAGATCTCGTCCGTGTGTTTTGAGTCGTCGTCCTGCTGAAAAATGAGAAGTCGCCCCAGTCTGAAGTCAAGGCGCTCTGCAGCAGGTTTTCATCCAGGATGTCTCCGTACGTTGCTGCATTCATCTTCTCCTCTATCCTGACTAGACTGTCAGCTGCTGTTGCTGCAAAACATCCACCTAGCATGATGCTGCTACCACCATGCTTCACTATAGGGAGTCGTCCCAATGACACCTGACATTCACACCAAAGAGTCCAATCTGTGTCTCATCAGAGCAGAGAATCTCATTTCTCATGTTTTCTGCTCTTGGTTCCAAACTTCTTCCGTTTACCACTGAACTCATTGGGACTCTCAAAGCAGCAGAAATGTTTGTTTCTTCCTCAGATTTGTGCCACAAGACAGGTCTACAGGCAATTACTGTTATTTACTGCTTGGTGTTTGACCTCTGACCTGCACTGCCACCTAGGAGACTTTATATAGACAGGTGTGTCCCTTTCCAAATCAAGTCCAATCAACTCCGCTTAAGTCGTAGAAACATCTGAAGGATGATTAAGCCAATCGTCTTTCCTCGTTGTCATAATTTGTGTACAGAATATTGAGGAAAAAGATTAATTTAATATAATTTAGAGCAATAATCAAATCAGATCCATCTTGAAAACTTACTCAGGCGGACAGATTGCTACAAATAAAAGCATTTGGATTTGAATCTACATGAAAAATTTGATTTATCACAATGTTTTTTTAGATAAATTAGATCTCTTTTTTTGTAAAGTATCTTAAGATTCTTTGGCTTACTTTAAAAAACAAAAACGGCTCATGGGGATTTTTATGTCTCCGGTTTTCCAGCTTCCTGTAGCAGGTCGTTTGTTTCTGCTTCCTAAAAGCAACACAAGTACAATTTCAATCTGTTAAACAGGAACTTTTATGCCACACAATCCTTGCTTTTCAGTTCCTGATAAGAAATCCGATTCTTAAGCAAAACACACTAGAGCACAGCTAACCTTGTTTATGACATTTAAATAATAATATAAAAAAATAAATAAATGTTGTGTGCTTTCTAAGAATCTGAAGGATGGATTATACAACAAAACAAATTTCAAGTAGGATACCTTGGCCCTTAACATGCGAGAGTAAAGCACACAAATCTTACCTAAGTGGTAAATTTAAGAGAGAAAAAAGTTTAATAGAGTTTCTCCAATGGTGCTGAAATTGTTGAGCACAGAAACAGCCAGTCTGCTGTCCATGGTGCTGAAACCCACAGAGCTCTGGGTCGTCGTATCGTGGACGAAGCCGATCGGCTCCAGAACAATCCAGACCAAGCAGCGTGTGGCTGACGCTCCGTCCATGGTGCTGAAATTAAACTGCTGTAACACAGTTTAGGCCTAAAGGTTGTGCTGGCTGTAGTTCTGAAGCCATGTATGAGCGGTGCATTAGGAGCCTGTCTGTGGAGCTAAAACTGACTAATTGCTGCACAGCTAGACATAATTGTTTTGCTGGAAGCCTGTTAAAATTGCTATGTTTAGACACACTGTGATTTTGCCTAATTATGTATTTGTTTGCATTTTTTTACATGAAAAGGGGCAAAGAATATCTAATATTAAGTTGTATCACGTCATTTAAAGTTTCAAGCATCATCCCAACTTTCTTCATAGACCCCCCTCTACACACACACACACACACACACAGCTCTCCCGCTCTCATCCGTTAAATAAATACACCTGAGAAATGTAGGTTATCGCTGATGGCAACAGACAGAAAAGTAATAATGCGCTATTGATGCATTAGAGTCTGACTGCGGTTGTCAGACAGAATTCAGAACGAGTCTATGCAACACACAGCGTTGGAGACAACTGTCACCATTCATAAATCAGAGCGGAGGTCGGTGCAGTGCTCCCACCTTAAGCACTGTCTAATTTAATTCACGTTTCAAAACACATCCATGCCTGTGGGAGGCACTAAGTAAAAAAAAAAAAAAAAAAAGCTCTGCCATCCCCAAAGAACACATTCAACAACAACAGTGATCAAACTCTGGCAATTTTACCGCCGCACACATTTGCTTCCTTTCTTCATTTAGCCCTTGAAGCTGCTTGGAGGTCTCTTTTGCAGCGTTTAGCAACGCTCAGTCACTGTTTGTCTGCTGCATGGCAGTCCAGGGCTTGAAAACTAAAGATAGTGGTCTGTGAGTCATTGTGCAGGACATCACTTTAATTGTTGATGCCTGAGGGCGCACATGGTCTGATTCAGGAACTGGACTGTTCGTGGTTTATTGTGCCAACATGTAGGCAGGGAGGTAATGAAGAAAATTAAGGAATTAAAGCACAGCTAAAATAATTCCCTCCAACCAAATATGACACACTGTAACAAATGGCTGATGTCTTTGTTGACTTAGTGTTATAAATAGTTATCTGGAGTTTATAAAGTTCTACTAACAGCTTGTGATGCAGTTTTGGGGTTAGCTTCTGCAGAAAGAAACAACCTGTGTTTTCTCTCTTTTGCTTCTCTAAAAAATATACTAACCAGAGGGTCAATCGATGCAACTGAGGTTTTTGCATTTTTTCTATATCAGAAAAAATGCTTCAGAATACCAGAATAATACCAATAACGATTGGTATTATTCCAAGCATCTACTTCCTAATTAGCTGCTAGCATCTGGCTTTGCTGCTGTATTAACGAGAACTTGCAAGTGACCTTGAATAACAAGCGAAGATTCAATATCTGTTGCAATATTTTATGTTCCTTGAAGCAACAAAAACTCAATAACATAATGAGTCTTTGGCTTACTTTTCAAATATGTTTAGTTTGTTTTATTGTCATTTGTAACAACAAATAACATCAAAACAATTTGAATTGAGCAAATTCATGCTCAATTCTAGTTTCTGTCTAGTTGTTTAACGTTTTCTGGGCCGTTCTGGCTCTGATTCCTACATTACCCATAATGCAATAGCTCTGTACTGCACATGAACTTATCTTACATCCAAATAGATTTGACTGCGTGTTTGAAATTTCGAATGGAAAAACAGCTGCAGTCATGACAATCGTTGTGACGACAGTCTGTTGATATTTTTGGTCTCTTTATAGTTTAATTCTTCTTCATAATAATATTTTTATTGGCTGGTTGTAGGATTTCTGTCCTTTAGATTGTTTAGTTTGGGCGTTTGTTTTACTTAATGAAATATAAATATATCTTCGTTTGACTAAAGTTTAAATTTTTCATTGACAGCAATTCAGCATTTGAATAAAATATGAAAGTCGTGCATTTTTACTACTGGGAGTGGAATAAAAACCCATAGATTATTTTTTATTGATATTAATCTGGTTTAACTTTGCACATCAACTCAACAGTTCAGTGGAATTTGAATGTGTTGCTTTACTAAGGTCCTGTAGCCATGCTGCTTGTGATAAAAAGACACAAAGGTCTTATTTAGGTGCTGGATGGTGCATAGATAGATGCAGCTGCCAAGATGTAGGCAGAGAAGGTAATGAAGAAAATTAAGCAATTAAAGCACAGCCAAAATAATTCCATCTAATCCTGTACCGCACTCTATAATAAAGTATGACTAATGCTTGACATCTTTATTGACTCAATGTTATTAACAGTCATTTGGCTTGAAATCATCTTTTCTTCCATTCTAAATCTGCATAACTTTCGCACTGTGTGAAATATGCAGAGGAGTGAGGACTGAAGCCTTCGCTCGACATGATTTACACGTCAGGCTGTAAAATGCTGGAGAATGCCGTCACTTTTACGGTGAGGCTCGCTCCGGGTTTCTGGTCCGCTCCTGTTATCAGGGTCCTGCTTGCACGCCAGAAAGAGACTCACAAGGTTAATGACCTTCGTGAATCTCTCAAATAAGACGCATCAATCATATCAACCTTTTGACACGGAGTCGGCCCGATCAGCAGGCTCAGCGACGCGCTCAGTTTCGCTGAACCTCTGCCTCGCCAAAATCACTTTCAATCCTTGTGTACATACAGCTGGATGTTTCTTGAGCTAAATAAGAAATGAAGCTAAAAACATAAAAAAAAATTAAATAAAATTATTCATTACCTGAAATAAAATTGTCATAAGCAGAAATACAGTGCAAAGACCATGCATTGCCTTTGGCCATAAAAATTTTTCAATTTGAGGCAAAGCTCAAAAACATTGGGGCTTTTGAGCTTTCTTGTTACTCTTGAGGTCCATGAATCGATACATGATATTGCATTATTTATAGAAATAGTGTAGTGGATAAAAAGAGAAAGTTGTGATTTAATTTCAGTCAAGTTTTACTCTGACCTGTGGTAGGAAAGTAGTGCAGGAAAAAAAAATCTTCAAAGCTCAAGATGA